AAATGGTTTAGAAGTGATGCGCAACTGTGGCTTATTTCTAGCTTTTATCCCATGCCTGTGTCTCAGCCACTCTGTATGCAAGTGAGAGTCAGGAAGAGCACCATAACTACTATTCACTCTGTTCTATCAGGCCACTACTCCATACACGTCAATCTTTACCAACAGTCAATGTGGAACTTTCTTCCTCCAGATACCTACTGGGCTGATGCCTTCATTTCCTTCAGATTGGACTGGATGAATTCCATCTTCAGAATGCAGCTTACCTCAGCATTCCCCGTAAGACTGTCATCTGATTGCACCCTCACTAACATTTAGCCCTTTGTACCACACTAGTTAATTTACTTACTTTTACCACTCACTATGCCCCTACACTGTAAGATTAATTCCATGAAGAACTAGGAATCTTTGTCTTTTACTTGTTAGCATCTGCCAAGTTCTGACAGTTGGCTCAGTACTCAGCTGACTAACTGAATGAATGGTGCCCTAAGAAAAATACCTGATAGCAGAAGGTATAGTCCTCATTACCAACATGCAAAATTAACACAAAACAATTCTATTACGATTTCATCATGTTTCCATTTGTATGTGCACACAACAATTAAGAATACAGGCACTGCCAGCAAGGGTGGGTGACACATGCCTGCAATCCCATGAACTCCGGAGGCTAAGGCAGGAAGATGGTAAATTCATGGCCATCCTGGACATAAAAGGCTGGAGCCTTAAACTGAATTGGGGGGTGGGCAGTGAGGAGATGGACAGGAATAGAATCAGATTCCCACTGTTCAGAAGCTGGCTCTAGGGCTGGGGATATATCTCAGTGACACAACACCTGCCTGGCAAGTGCAAGGTCCTGAGTTCAATTCTTGGTACCCCCCCTCTCCAAAAAAAGCTGGCTCTGTCTTTTGTGAGCTAAGTAACCAACTGCCAAGGTACTACTCTCTCAGTGCCTTAGTATCTCACCTTTAAAAATTGGGTACTGGTTGACTTCTGTTAAAGGACTTTTGTAAGAATTGAATGGAACAACAAGTTTGTGTGTATGTGTAACACTCAGAAGCTAGTATCTGCAGAGTAAGTTTTAGCTGTTATTATAAGAAAAAGTACAGTTCTCTTAAAATGCCATCATTTGAAGCAGGGGGGAAATAAACCTAAGAAAAATAATGAGTGAAATATTCAAGTAATTCTATATGAAGTGACAACAGCCAAAGACCAAAGCAGCATTATAAATGTTCATGCGATTACTAATCACCCACCATGGGTACAATGATATGCTAAAGCATGGGTATGCACTTCTACTCCAAGAGGAAAAACAAAACACAAACACAAATTAGAATAGTGATTCTAAACTAAATAATGATTCTAAAACTAAATTTGCCTACAGAACAATACATACTAATCACAGGGATTTGGCTCTGAAAATCTTTTAAAATATTCAAAACTAACCCTAGATAAAACGTATTCATTCATTAAAGTAATGCCCGTTTTTACCAACTATTTGCCAAACAGACCATACCTGACATTATCCCTGATTGTGTTTATAGTCCAATAAGAAAAACAGAAATCAAATAAGTAAAATATATGACAAATCACAGTAAATGCCGAGCAAGACCAGGAAGAAAGGCTCTGAGTGGGAACACTGGAAAGGAACTGGTTAGACTGAGAGAGAGCTACGAGTCTGTTTAAACTGTACCCTTCTAAAAAAGTAAGCAGGACTGGACTAGTTGAAAATTCAGAAAAAAGAATAGTTCCAGGAAGAGACAACAGCAAATGCACCTGCCTGAGAGGAAGAGTTTTGGGCACTTAAGGCACTGAAAAGCCAAAATAACAGCACTGGCAACATTAATGAGCAAGAGGACAATAGCATAAGCTGGAGGAGGACAGAAACCAGATTGAGTGAGCTCTTACAAGCCATGATAAAGTGGTGTTTTTATCCAAACCTAAACAGAAGCCACTGAGGAATTTTAAACAGGAAAATGAACAACAGGTTTGTATTTTTACCATTTTACAAAAATATGTAAAGGATAAAACATTACCATTTTACAAAATATGTAAAGGATAAACATTTACCATTTTACAAAAATATGTAAAGGATAAACATTATGTGGGAACAGTAAGACCAGAGAGAAGGCTACTCTGTATTCTGGAAAGAAAAGAGGGTAATATGAACAGTAGTAAACATAACAGAGAGGAAGACTAGTTAAATGGCTCAAGACATAATATAGGTAAAATCGTCAGGATAAAATGACAATAGATGGAAGGAAGGTCAAAGAGGTACCCTGAACCTATTTCACGAACTGCTGATGGAAGGCCAATGTGTTTAACACAGGGAAGGCTTACGGCAGCAATTGAGAGACTCATCTCTGCAAGATCTGAGATACCTATGAATAATACAAACAGGGGCAGGAAGAAATAGTTGACTGTTAAGAGTCTAAGACAGAAGAAAAGATGGGCCATACACACAGCTATTTGCATGGAAAAGCAGATGGGCTGATGGACAGACAAGAGTTTAAACTTCTATACAGAATGAGCATGACTAACCACAAAAGCCAGAAGAATGTAATTACTAATACTGTAATTCAGTCTCTACTATTGAAATAGAAGAAATCAACAAACACTCTTAATGACCAATTTTGACACCTCTTTACTGTTTCCCAGGCTGTCAAAAATATGGAACAAACAACATACATACTGATACAATAAAAGAACTCCATAAGCAGGCCTTTCTGTACTCCATAAGCAGCCTTGTAACCTAACAATAGCACTGCCAACATATTTAATTCAATACTTTGAATTAGAACTGTCTTTAAACCTGGCAAATCATGATATTAAAAACATGACAAAATCTTTAAAATGTAATGTCCTTGAGTGAGATCTAAGGTATTCTTTACATCAGACTCAACAGTACTATAAACTTCTACTACAGAAAAAATCCCAGGGTGCCTTAAGGATAACTTAAACATTTCAAAGCATAAAAAAAAAAAAAGAAAAGAAAAGAAAAAAGTTCTGTTCTACTATTTTTAGCCTGTCCTGGTAAAAATTTTGTGTCTTCATAAAATGGGACACTGCCATTTGAGGTTAATGTGACTGATATCATCAAATGCGTGGTTTAGAATGTTCAACTACAGATAGAGATTTGTGTATTCTTTGGATGTAAGCTTTCCTTTTCTCTACAAGCTGTAACTTTTATCCTTTAAGTAACAGATTCAGCCAATTCCTACACCAGTATCTTTGTCCTTAACACAAAGTGAAAAATTAATCAGCAGAAAAACAGGTCTCTTGTCTTCCTGTCCTGGTACAAAAGTAAAATGAGTGGGCAGGCAGGCAGGAAGTTTAAGATAGCTGTATGGGACAGTAACTGTGGAGGCATGTGCTCAGGTCTGAGAAGGGGGAAGATCACAAACTCTGCTAGAATCATCCGAGAGGTAGATCTTCCTACAAGACTGACTTGCTCCAGGATGAAACAGACCCTGATCCTTAACATGTCTCTACCTTTTTCCACCTTTGTGTACGAGAGCTCTGCTCCCTCTCGCCCAGCACTATCTTCTATCAAAATGCTTATTTCAATTTAAAACAAATATACTCATTTTTTCGGAAATCTGAAAATGTACTTAAAAAATAAGTTCCTCTGACCAACCGCTTTGTGGTGAGCCAAAACATTACTATCTCTTTTCTGAAATGTTGGTATTTATAAAGCCACTTGGAGTAAAAAGAAATTCAGAATCTAGTTTTTTAATATCCCATTGCTGCTGGGTTCCTCAACATGGGATCTAACCTAGGCTTTGTGAGACAAATCAGACAGCTTTACTGTTTGTGATCAGTGCTATCATACAATGAAGGTTTACATTAGGCTAACAAACCCTTAGTATGTCTAGGAAAACAAAACTCTTTTACTGGCTACTATGTTCATTATATTATATGGGCCTGACATTGAGAAACTACAATTTTTAAAAGTTCCCATATCCAATGCCCCATAAAATTTAATAGCTTCAATATAATTTAGCAAAATCTTTACTCTGAATATCTGATTATGTAATGACAGGTGCCTTGTTCAGATACCATCATACTAAAACAATTCTAATACCACATACTCTTAAGTGTGAAAGCCTACAAAAATTAACAGATGACAAAAACAACCTGACCAGTGAAAACAAATTTAATACTGAAACTGCAGTCTGCTGCAAACACATGAATATCCTGGTGGTATTAAAATGTTTAACATAAAAAGTAAGTTCAATAAGCCTGCAGTCTACTTTAAAAAGTACAGCTTTCTCCCCAGTCCAATTTCTTCCTTTTACAATGCTTCCTAAGTGGACTAACATGACATTTAAATATACTTTAAATAAATATCATCAAATTTATTAAAGGGGATATCTGCTTAAATATTTGTTACTTTAAACTAAATCTGGTTTGGGCCATGCACTAATTATACAGTGTTTTTGACTTCTAAATATGTCTGTACGTTTGTTTTTTAAACAGGAATAAAAACCTAACAACATTAAAGTGAAAAGTTATTTATTCACAGTATTCCTGACCCTTAGTAATACACATTCACTTTAAAATAATATGGAAGCTTCAAATTATTAAATGTGGTCTTCATAGTGAGCAAAAGAAACCAATTTTTTTAAAAAAAAACCCATGTTACTCTTCTTCATATAAAGTTAAAAGTAGTTACTTTACTCTTTAAAAACTACCACGTCACAGTATGGACAGAGATGTCTCAAAAAAGCAAAAATAAACTACAAAACCTTTAGGAGGCATAGAACAGAGGACTGAGAGAGGCTGAACTCATTTAAAATGCATTTTCATAAAAACAGTTGTATTTACTATTTTAAAAGCTATCTAACTGGTTTATGCAGCAGTTATAAATCCATACTATATAAAGTTTTTGTTTTTCGTAACATTGTAAATCTATTTGAAATTCTGAAACTCTTATCTGCCTTTTTTGTGCAAAGACATGCATTAAAATACAATATAAATCAAACAGACTTTTAAGTTATTTATACCTTTAGCCCAACACATTGGAAATGGACTACAGCCGCTTTTCTCCATATAGATGGCACCTGCTGGTTTCAGGGCCTCTCGGCCTGCCAGTTCCAACAACATACACTCAATCCTATCAAGATCAAGCCAGAAGTCCGCACACAAAGTCCCAGTTCATCGCTCCGAAAGCATTTGTTTCCATCCAAAGCAAGACTAAGCTTCCCCTGTGTGCTTTTTTCAGAGCTTGAAGTAAAATTTGGGAGGTGTTCCTTCTGTAATATTTTCCAGCTGCTTGAAGGATGCCTCTCAGTGACCGAATCTTCTCCTGCTTCTGCAATCTGAAACACAGACGATCCTGGCCAGATTAAGCTACTGAACAGAATGAAACCAGCTAGTACTGTGACCCTATGGGTCTGTGTTCCTAGATTCATTCAGGGAAAGAGAGCGATGGGGAGGGGAGAGAGGGAGGAGGAAAAGAGGCCAGTAGCCAGCACCTTATGAATATGCTAATCTCGCCCTTCCGTTCAATTCATCCAGCAGACTACTGTTTACAAAACTGACTGTGGACTCTAAAATTGAGTAAGTTGCAGATCAAGTCTGACCCAGATCACATCTGTGGACAGCTCCTAAACCATTTTCTATTTTCAAAGCCATGTCTCTGGCACTTTACCAACCTAATTCTGACCCTACGATTAAAATAAGAGCCTTGATGAGATAAGACAAATGTTGAAAAAAACAAAATGTTGATTAACATTAAAAATAAATCTGTAGAAAGAAAAGTCTATAGGAAGCCAAATATCTTTGAGGTAAAATATTTTCCTGATTGACACTTTCATAATAAGTCTATACATTTATAAAACTATCTAGAATACATTTTTTTAGAATGTAGTAACAAGTTGTTTAAAAATTCATTTACTGTAATTTCAGTTACTCAGGAGACTCAGGCAGAAGTATTACAAGTTGAAGATCAGTCTAGGAAATTTAGTGAGACCACAGGTGAGAAAGGATTGGGACTGTCGCTCAGTAGTAAAGCACCCCTGGCTTAAATCCCTATTACTATTGCTACTTACTTACTTACTTATTTATTTATTCATTCACTGATTTGCCCTGAAGGAATATTGAAGAATACAAGATGTATGGTTTCTTTTTTAAGCTCCAAAAGGTAAGTGAATAATAAACTTATAGTGACAAAATAAGACAGAAAAATGCCCTTAAAATCTGCATCAGCAATTTTTTAAAATGCAAAGCTACTTACTTTTTCATTCAAACTGAGACACAGTCAAGGTCATGACAAAAAGTTAGCTATTTTAAAACATCCTACTTTAGCAGTAGGATAAGAACTAAGTTCTGATCCCTTGTTCTTTGAGCATGTATAATATAAACTGGTGTTCAATATAGTTCTAACTTTCCTAAAATGAGTAATTTTGTTAGTCATACAATTCTATAAACTAAGCATAACTCAAGTACTTAACTATGCAAATAGCCAAGCCTTTAATTATGAATTCAGTTAACTTCTAAAAAACAGAGCTGAACAAAGGCTGAAGAGAACACGAGGAATATTTGTTCCCAGTGATGCCTATGACAGTATGTTTCAGTTTTGTGATACTCTTGATGGTGGGTTTGTCTCCTGGCTCTACTTTCAGGATCCTGATAGCACCCAGAGCTCCGGTGGCTTCTCCTAAGGCCCCCAGAAAACAGTATTTCCAGTGTTAATTCTGACCCCATACAATGCTAGAAAGATAGGGGCATCTGAAAAACATAAGCAAGCAGGCTAGGAAAAAAGATCAGAAGAACCAAGCACAGAGCACTTAGAACCAAGGAAAACATCCCCAGCTTCTACCATTATACTGAGCAGAGGCAAGACCATAGAGGTCTATTGTCATCATGGGAAGAAGCAAGCATACCAAGTAGGGACTCCAACTGCCTCATCCCATAAGAACAGCTGGAATTTAACTGGAGCCATCTACTAAAAGATGCATAAATACTTCAAGCAAATTGTGACTCTATCCTGCAATGTAAAATTCTCAAAAGCTAAAAGATACAAGCCATCTTCACTGCTAGTCATTACTATAGTCTATACACCAACTCTGCACCTAACTATCACACCTTTAAAGCAAGATCAGTGCTACTCTATCTTCTTTAAAAAGGACAAACTAAGACTGAAGACAAGACAAGATCCTAAGTCACACTCAGCCAAGCAGCCAGGTTCTTCACAACACAGCATCCCACCTCTGGAAGCATTTTTCAGCTGGACTGCATAGCTGCTGTGGAATCACCTAAACAGGAAAATAAGTGGAAGGATAAGGGGCCTGGAGCTTAGGCCCTGGCAGTGACTGAGGGAACACAGGCAAACCAGAGAGAAGGGACTACAGAGAAGGAGGAAGATGGATGGGCCAAGTTTCTGACTTTCATCAGTGAATGGAGGCTTTCCCTGCCACACTTGCTAATAACTTTTTATTTCAATATTCAAACAGCCTCACTTCCTAATATGGAAGATCTTGAAGATATAAAAAAATATGAAAAAGTATTAATACCTACAGGTCAGAGGGCAAGGTGACTGACTGTATGCACAGGGCTCACCTGGACTGAAGCAGCAGCTATGGAAACATTAGGAACCAATCCAGACTGCTGAGAAGGACAGTACAAAAGAAGATAAAGGTGATACTGCCAACAATAAAAAGGAGTAGTGTATACCTACCATAAACTAAGTATATATAAAGTGATTGCACTTAATCCATAACAAAATTCCAAAGAAGGAGCTGAGCTGGACGTGGTGACATATACTTGTAATCTCAGTTACTCAGGAGGCTGAGGCAGGGGCATTGAAAATTCAAGGACAGTTCGGCAATTCAGTGAGATCCTGTCTCAAAATAAAAGGGGAATGTAACTCTGGTAGAGTACTTGCCTAGCATGTGCAAGGCCCCAGTTCAATCCTAGGTACACAAAAAAAAGTAGTTGTTTCTTTGTCTTTGAGTTTCAGAGAGGTCAAGCAACTTGCCTAACCACTAACATGGTGATACAATTCCACTTTATTTTTTTCTCAGTAAATAATAAAAACAAACTATGCTTTTAAACTCCTAGTCCTGTAACATTTTGAAAAGAGCAAAAATAAACCACAGTCAAAGGCAACGTAAGTAAAAAATACTGTCTTCTATGTTCTCCTTGTTAAGAAATTCTATATAGTACAGTGATACAAGAAACACTTTTTATTTTAAATGTCCTGTGATGTTTAAAACAAACTCTTTTAGTATCCTTATAGTTAAAAAGCAACTCCATTAAGACCTACTTAACAAGTAAAGGCTTAATAAAAATTTACAAGACAGACACTATGTGCTGAGACTCAAAACCTTAGTCCTTAGTCTCCCCTGACTTTTTTTGAGACTCTCATTTTAAAGCAGTCCATCAGCAACAGCCCTTACCTTGACCTTCAGAATACAGCTAGCATCGTGTATTTCTCACTCTATCTACTGCCTTTATCCTAGTCTAGGCTGTTATTGGATTATACCTACAAGCCTCTGACCTGCTCTCTCTGCTTTTTACCCTTAACCCAGCAGCTGCCTAACCCTTTCATAATAGCAGCCATAGCATTTCACCCCTCTGCTCAAAATGCACAAACAGTTCCCCAACTTGCCCTGAATAGGCACTGACACACTTAGCACAATGTACAAGGCCCTGCAAGACTCCCTTGCCCTAGAGGCCTTATCAGCCTTATCTCCCCACATCCGGTTTCCTCTGCTTAGAACACCAGACTGGCCTCCCTGCCACTGTGCCCACCTCAGCACCTCTGCATTGCTTGTCCTTCCATATGGGACATTCTTGCCCCCAGTTATCCTGGTTTGTACTATTTCTCCCTACAAAGCCTTGGCTAAATGTACCTACTCAGCTGGGTCTATCCTGACGACTCTAAAGCTGCATGGCTTCTCCACTTCATTTTTTCCTCATGTGATTTACTTATACAGTACATTATGTTTCTTTTCTGTCTGCCCCCATTACTTTGCGAGCTTGCGAAAAGAGTGAATTTTGTCTACTATTACCAAAATGAGATGTGTGGCCACATTCTATCCCCTCCTATCACCTTTAAGTAATGAGGAGATGACAAAAATATTTCTGTTTTGCTTCCCAGGCCATGGCCACAGAGAAGGGAAAAATACATTCTGAATGTCACGGACAGGATGAACTTATCCTGGATACTACCTACTTCACCTCCACGACCCAGTATGGGACACAGGTTTGACAGATACTAAACATTATAAAACCCTTCCTTTTCCAAGAATATGAGACTGGGGAAGAAAAATCAACATAAAATCTAAGAAAATCATGTGCATTTCCTCTGCTCACCCTACATAAAAAAATGAACTCCACAATTGCAGTACTCTTTGTATTAAAATTTTTACTGCAAATTTTAGGAAGAGCAAAAATGAAAACAGCATGAAATTAGATGAAAGTCTTTAGGCTAATAAACACTGCTGCAATCAAGATCAGTAAGCAGTAAGGTCAACTCCAAACCTTCATATGCTGTACACCATTTTGTCCAATCTGGCTTACCTTTAGAAACCTGGCCTTAAATGAGGTCTCTGGAAATGAACTATTAGGAGGTGAAGTGCCAGCCAGGTTTAGCACTCTGTACTGTAATCTCAGTACGCTAAGAGACTGAGGAAGGAGGACTGGGAGTTCACACCCAGCCTGAGCAACCTGCTGAGACCCTGTCTCAAAATGAATGAATGAATGATTGAAGAAGGCTGGGATGTAGTTCAGTGCAAAGGCCCTAGGGTGTTCAATTAAAAAAAGAAAGGAAAAAACTGATTACTCTTACATTTTTATATATTAAAAATATTTTATATATTAAAACTGACTTTTTATATCTTTCACATAGTTGCTCTGGTTTCATTTGCCTTAACCCCAAACACAAAAGGAATATTTCTTAGAAAAGTATAACACTGATAAATGTTTCTATGTTAGCCAACAGGTAGAATGTAAGTGAAAAATATAGTTCATTGTATTATACATGTATACTTCTTAAGTTTTTCTTCTTATTCTTCTCATGTTTCCATTAATCAGGAGTCATATGCTAAACATTACCTAACTTTCAAATGTTAAGTATCCTATACTAAGTATTTTACTTCCATTAAGATTATTATCATTTCTGTCATTGCATCTGTTTCTGTTATGATTTTCAAGAAAAATTTAGTTGACTTATTGCTTTATAAAGATTAAAGAAGTATTAGTTGTAATAAAGCATATAATCACCTTCTCAACACAGACAATAGGTTCCACAATACAACAAACTGCCACAGGCGCAGTATTAGTATTGTTCACTTTCTTTGCAGTTTCCTAACAATTACTGTACCTCCCTTAAATTAATGCTTGAGGAAGTCTGGGGAGGCTGAGGAAGGCACCGTAAATGGAAGACTGCAAAGGAGCCCCAGGTCTACCTGTGAGACAAAGAAAGAATTGTTTCACCAGCTTGAACCTCAGCTTTTGGATCTGTAAAACAAGAACAATGAAGATGCCTATCACAGAGTACTGTGTGTGGGCTTATAAAAGAGCACAATAGCAACACTAATGATATCATCATGATAATGCTGAAAATAAGCTAGTGCTCCTTATATGCCAAATCTTGATTCAAGTATTTCACAGCAAATCCCAGGAGGCAGATACTCTTACTCCTACTTTACAGATGAAGAAAAAAAAATGAAACACAAAGAGGCTAGGTCACGGGGTCACACAGTTTTTAGGCAGCAAACCTGGGTATCAAACCCAGGCAGTCTGGCTTTAGATTCTTCGCCCTTTACTACTAAGCTTTATATCTATTTAATCAATTAACACCTCCAACAATGTAGATGGTGTTACAGTCCACATACGGCACGTGAACAAACTGAAAAACAGAGTAAGTAGCATACCTAACACCACAACTAACTGATCAGTGGCAAAGCTGGAATGCACATCAGATATTTGGACAACAGGCAGATCACACTGAAACCACCACCTGTAACATCACCTACCTCCAGAATTTGCAAAGGCTTCCAGAGAATAATCAGGCAACAGGCCCCATTTGGCCTACAAAAGATGAATGAACCATAGTGAGGACCAAAGAACAAAGAAAAGAAACACAAATATGAGCTGTTCCCATTTCCTCCAGCAGCCTAGTTCATAAACCTTAAGCTCATGATACCCTCTTCTAAGCTTAGTAATCCTGATATCGAACAATTCAGACAAAAGCCATGGCAGAGCATACACTAGATAGGGAGCTGGTACTTGAGGCATGCATCAAAATCACAGGGAAATAAATGCAACCACTCAGCTAGGCAACATTGAAATACATTGTATTAAACAGATGGGAAAGTGCAACTTTTACCAAGAAAATATTATTATTTCTGCTCACTGGGTAAGATAATAGTTACCTTAAAAATATATCTTAAAAAAATAGAAACCACTCTGAACTTATTATTAAACCACACAGTATTAAACTACAGTATTTCCACAAATTCTAATTAGTGACTATTTCTTATTTCTGTTCTGCCATACAGGCGACCAGAGCTAAATTCTAGATTTAGAAATAGTTGGGAAGTTAATTTTTATCAATTTTTGAAAAGCTCTTGAAATCAGTAAGAAGACTGCTGCAGTAGTTTTTCAAATACAGTGGTAGGGGCATGACCACGTAAGACAGGACACAAAATTCACTGAGATTTCAACCTATCCAGATATATCCATAAGACAATGTTTTTCAGGCATGGTAGTACATGCCTAGAACCCCAGCACTTTGACAGACTGAAGCAAGAGGGTCAAACGTTAAAGCCCAGCTTGGGTAATTTAGAGAGACCCTCAAAAATAAACAGGTGGTGATGTAGCTCAGTACAAAGTCCCTCGGTTCAATTCTGAGTATTGGAAAAAAAGTTTTGTTTTTTTTTTTGCTTATACTAACCATAACTCAAACAACAAAAAGACAATCAGAATAGCTATTTAATGTTAACTAACAATGCTTGAAACAAATTTAGGGCTTCAACTGTATTAAACTTGCATATACACACATCCAACTTATGTAATTATCTCATCACCATGTTTTCTTTAATACTATGAATCCAATTAAGTCACAGTTTGATTGTTCACTTTATTTAGCAAATAACAGGACTGGTAGCATTCAAGTTAGGAAACAAAAGCACTGAAAATCACTGAAAGGCTGGCAAGCTGGCAATCAGGCTTTGTAGGCACAAACACTAGTAGAAAAGTCTGGTAAGTGTCTGGTGCTGGGAGGACCTCTTGTGGTATCCTCTAAGCTTTAAAGAGTTTTTTTAAAAATCTGCAATATGCGTATTAAACTATCCCTCATCATGCTTGAAAAGGCAAGCCATTTCTACAGTTTGATTCCTAATCTGTTTTCAAGAAACATCAGCACCATCCAGCCTGGGTCCAAGCCTTACCCGAGGCACATCCCAAGCACCAGGCATGTAATATAGTTCCTCTTCTTCCAAAGACAGTTATAAAGTGGTTGGCTTTCTTTGTTACTTTCCCTTTTCTGTTTCTCTGTTTTCTTTCATTTCTCTATGCTTCTGCTAGTATCAACAGATACTACTCCAGCTTAGGAAGAAATCTGTCCAATTCTACCTAAAATTTGTATCATTTAAAAATGTTACCATCAACCTCACATCCATTATGATGACTACTACTTAAAATAATACTAAGTGTTGACAAGGATGTAAGGAAATTGGAATTTTTGAGCACTATGGCTGGGAATGTAAAATGGTACAATATGGATGTTTCTCAAAAAATTAAAACAAACTACCATTAATCGCACTTCTCAGTACACATCTGAAAGGACTGAAAACCAGTCTGGAAGAGGTATTTGCACATCTGTGTTCACAATAGCCAAAAAAAGAGAAGCAACCAAAGTGCAGTAACAAAAAAATAAAATGTATACACATATGATAGAGTATTACTCAGCTTTACAAAGTAAATTCTAACACATACTACAATGAGGATGAAACTTCAGGATATACTGATAAGTGAAATCAGTCACAAAAAAGACAACTATCACACAATTCCATGTATATGAGGTATCTAACAGACAAGTTCATAGCACCAAAAGTCAAATGCCGGTGAGCAATGGATAGACAGAGAATGTTAGATTTTCTTATGAAAATTCCGAGATCTGTTCACAAAAATACAAGGTACTTAACACTAGTAAACTATACATTTAAAAATTAGTAAATTTTTAGTTTGTATTTTTTCTGCTTATTTTTATCACAATTTTTTAAACTTCACGAAATGTTAAAGCCATTTTATTTTTCATTTTTTTGTTAAAGCCGTTTTAAACAAGTACATTTTATTTATATTTTACAAGCCTACGGGCACGATGTAATGTCTACTTTCATAGGAATAATAAGCCTTAGATAAAAGGCAGGGAAAAGACTATCACCAGTAACTGACTCAACACTCAATGCTGGCCCAGCACTGTATCAGGGCCTCATGTGTGGTTTTTACTTATATTTTTGTTTGTTTTGTTTTGTCTTTTTGAGATAGGGTCCCATTATGCAGTTCAGGCTGGCCTTGAACTCACTTTTTGGCCCAGGCTGGCCTCAAACTCACAGCTATCCTCCTGCCAAGTGCTAGGAATATAGGCATGTGCCACCACACCCTAGTAAAGTTTGGGATAATTACTAATACCACATTTCTAAGAAAGAAAAAACTGAAGCTCGGAAAGCTCAGAGCTCATGATACAATCAGACTTTGTGAAAGTAAAAACCTCATGTGTTGAGCTCAAATCATTTCATCTTTCTCGCAATTTAAATTTGAAAAGCAGCTGAGTTCAAGTATTTCCTGGGTCCCAAACACAGCCACATGAGATGTATGAATTTAGGTACTTCAAACCTCTCCATAACTTAGTTTTTTCCTTAAATAAAATTAAAGCTAGCAGCTACCTTTGAGGGCATAATGAGAATTAAATGACACAATCAATATAAAGAACTTTGACAGTACCCGCCCCAGACCTAATAAAGATTCCAGTCATTGTAAATGCACTGCTATTTATATCCTCGTGCTTATACAACAGACTAGGCATTAGGGTCATCAACCTCAGCACAAGAGAATCAGAGCTCCTAAAGAGCTCACCACCCACCAGAAGAAAAGCCCTTACCAGAACATCTCAAAGATTGGTCTAACAAACCTCCAATGAATTTCCTTAAGGTTTAAGGTAGTCTGAGGATTAAATGGTTTATCGGTTCATTTGTAATACTGAGAAACTGGAAACAGCCTACAGGTGCAATAGGAGGGGGAACAGATGAAGCTCAAAACACTGAAACAAGCATCAAACAGTGATGTATTCTAAAAATTTGTCACTGGCATTGGAAAATGCTGATTAATGAAAAAAGCAACATGTTAGAGAAAAAGAACAAGGCATCAACCAGTCCTAAAATGCAGGATTTCTACAATAAATTTTTTTAAGTGATTTTAAGAAAGGATAATAGAGTGTGTGATATATTAATGTAAAGCAAAAGAAAACTACATCTACCTTCCTTCTTTCTTGACAGCTAGCAGCACCAATTCCATCTGGAGAAAACTGGGTAGAAATAAAACTGCTTAGCCTGATGCAGTGATGCTCCCTGATTATCCCAGCTACTCAGGAGATTGAGCCAAAAAGGTTACAAATACGAGGCTAGCCTGGGCAATTTAGGTATCTCAGTGGCAGGGCACTTGTCTAGCAAGTGTGAGGCCCTATGTTCATTCCCTAGTACTCCCCCAATGCAGTCAATGTAGCTCACACCTATAATCCCAGCTACGGTGGAGGCTGAAGCAGCAAGATCACTAGTTGGAGGATAGTATGGGCAACTACAACTTATGAGACCCTGGTCTCAAAATAAAAAATGGCTGGGGGGATATAGCTCACTGATAGAAGGTCCTTGGGTTCTATACACATATTGCCAAAACAAAGAAAATATGTAATAAAAATAGGGTTAAAAGGGTGAGATTTGAGTCAATGCATACCCATTTAAATTCTCTACCACATATTTTTCTGTTCAAAATAATAAATGAACACAAAAAGTAACTGTGTTAAAAGAACAACAGCAAGCCTTCAATATTTAGAAATGAAACAATACCTTTGTAAACAATATATAGGTCAAATAATAAATCAAAAATATTTAGAACAGAATAATGACAATACCAAAATCTTTAGCTGCACCTTTTGTTGAAGGACGATAACTTCAACTTACATAATAAAAAGGAGAAACCATCAACTATCTATGTTTTTACTTAAAGAAGCCAGAAATACAGGTGCAAATTACCAAAGCAGTCAGAAGTAAAAACAGAAACAGAAACCATGCTGTGCACCAGGGCATGAGACAAAAGGAAAAATGAGTAATACTGGTCCTGTCTTTATTTAAAACTGGTATCTTGTTCATCATGACCTGCTTGCATTCATTTTTTATTTTAAAAAATAGTGCATCAAACTATCATTTATCTTCATTACTGAGATTTCTGATGATACCTCAGATTTTGTGTCTGAGACAAATGCCTCACAGTAGGCCCAGCCCTGCCCAAACAAATCTATTTCAACATTATACTCTTCCTTACCAGCCCCATTCTCCTCAACCCCATGACCGCCACACACACCCAGGGATGTTGTAAAATGAGAGACATTTCTGTTCAAAGCATGTTAAATACAATTACTCAAATGAAAAGTTCCATTCGGGAATGATAAAGGTATTTAACATTTTCTTTTTCAAGGATCTGAACACTTCAGCAACTAAAACTGTCCAAATCTTACCTTAATTGAAACAATTACAATGCATTTTTCAACAGTAGACCAATGAACTCCTAAATTCATAAATGTCTGAACTAGCAAACTGTAAAAATTCACTTGCACAGTGAGTGCTTGATTATATATATTTGCATTTCCTATGACAGAAGAGCAATCATACATTTCTTCTTTTGTGTCTTGTCCAAGGATCCTAACCAATAATAGCAGCAAAGACTCAACTCTAACAGCCACACTAAACCTCATGAGGATCCAACAAATAAAAGACAACAGACGAAGGTTAGTAAATGACTCACTTTTTAAGAGT